AGATACAGTCAGACGTAGACTCATTTTGATACTCCAATCAATAATTACTTTGGATGGCATCTATAGATATCTCTTATTCAGAACTTCCTATTAGCAATATGTCATCAATATACAAACATACCTGAATTATACTACCTTCTGAAGTGTGTTGAACATAAAAACCATACTCAATCTCACACTTCTGAAACCCTTGTTCCTTGAAAAATGAATCAATCTTCAGATTCCAGGATCTGGGCGCTTGCTTCAATCCATATAAGGCTTTGTGTAATTTGAACACCATCCCTTCCTGATTCTTTTTCTTAAATCCAGGAGGTTGTGACACGTATACCTCTTTTTATAATGGACCATTCAGAAATGCAGATCTTACATCTAAATGCATCAGAGGCCAATTCCTGTTAGCAGCTATTACAATCACTAGTCTGATTATTTCATGTCTCACTACATGTACAAATAATTCAGAGCAATCTAGCTCAGGCTTCTCTAGAAAATATCTTGCTACTAATATTGCTTTGTGTTTGCCAATTGATCCATCTGGTGTTAGCTTCTGCTTAAAACCCATCTGACGTTGATGGCTTTCTTGCCTTTTGGAAGTTCTGTCAGCTTCCAAGTCTTGTTTCTCTCTATAGCATCAAGTTCTTCTTTTATGGCTTGTAACCAAACTTTCTGCTTAAGAGCATCTTCCGTACTCACGGGTTCAGAGTCTACTAACATTACACACTGAATAACTTCTCCTTCAGAGTATACTTCAATGTCTTGCAACATGTCAAACTCTGCAAATCTTCTTGGGATGCTTATGATTCTTTGTTGCCTCTGAACTTGAACTTCAAAGCCTCAGACACCAGAACTTTCCCCTTCAGAAGCTCTTGCTTCAGAAAATGGACTTTATATAGAACCTTGATTGTCTTTAGAGTCTGGAAAATTCCCAGAGTCTCAATCACTATCAGAGTCAAAGTCAGAATCATCTTCACCTTCTGAATCTTCTTCATAGTCAAAGTTACCACCAGACTCGTCTTCAAAGTTAAATTTTTTACCAGCTTCAGAAACATGTGTTTTTGACTTTTCTTTAGGAGTTCTCTCATCAGAGTCAGGACGAGACTTTTCCCAATTCCAGACTTCTGATTCTTTTACAATGACGTCTCTGCTGAACTCAACTTTGTTAGTTTATGGACAACAAAGTTTGTATGAACATGTACTGTGGTATCCCACCAGTAACATCACTTTACTTCTATCATCCAACTTCTGTCATCTGGCTTTTGGGACATGTTTGTAACATACAAAACCAAACACCTTCACATGACTAACACTTTGCTCATCTCCAGTCCACTTCTGAATAGGAACTATTTCCTTCAGCTTCTTCGTTGTACATCTGTTGAGCACATGACATGCAGTGGCAACAACTTCTCCCCACAAAGTATGAGGAAGCTTCTTCTCTTTCAGCATGCTTCTCACCATATCAAGCAAAATACGGTTTATTATTTCAACAAGACTATTGTGTTGAGGAGTATAGGGAGCAATTATCTCATGCTCAATTCCATTCTCCTCACAGAACCTTTTGAATTATGTGGAGTTATACTCACCACCACCATCAGTTATAAGAATCTTCAAAGTCTATCCACTCTGATTCTCAACCTTTAGTCTGAACTACTTGAATTCAGAAAACACCTCGTTTTTGAATTTTATGAGAGATACCCATGTCATTCAGGTGAAATCATCAACAAATGACACAAAGTATTTATTCCCTCCAATCGATGCTATTGGAAATGGACCACACACATAAAAATGCACTACTCCTAAGGCATGCTTTGCTCTTGGAGCTACTTCTGATGCAAATGGCAATCTTGGTTGTTTCCCTTCCATGCACATCTTGCATGACTTCTCAGGCTTCTTGATTATGGAAATTTCATGTACCTGTTTCTTTGATTTCAGATGTCCCAAGCTTCTGAAATTCAGATGACCAAATCTTCTATGCCATAACTCAATCTCCTTGACAACACTTATTACATTAAGACATTTAGAGTCTGCAGTTCTAACATTCACCTTGAATATTTTGTTCCTTCCCTATTTTGACTCTATAATCAGCTTCTGATTAATCATACAGCTTCATAAGATTATCCTTCATGGTAACTGAAAAACCTTTCTCAATCAGTTGTCCCACGCTCATCAGATTGCTTTTCATGCCAGGTACATACCACACATTCTGGATAATTGTTGTTTTCCCATTGTTTAGAATGACTCTGACATTTCCCATACCTTCTGCATTGAGATATTTATCATCAGAACATTTGATCTTTATACTCTTCCTAGAGTAAAAATCAACCAATCATTTCTTATTTCCAGTAAGATAGTTTGAACACCTTGTGTCCATATACCACCTATTGTAGCCCAAAATTTACCCTCTCACATATCAAGAATTTGCTCACAAGATCTCCTTGGGCTTAAGACTGCACTAGGGTTTGATCAACTCAAGACACCTCTTTAAGCACTGATGACCAAAATTAGGGTTTGAGTTTGCACAAGGATTTTTGAACTTCCAATACCCCATATGACTTTCATGAATCATTGTGGACCCCCAAGATCACTCATGTAAAGTTTCAAGCCTTGGATCACACTTTTGCTCAGTCAATTGAGCAGTTGACCTAAAAATCAGTTGTATTGGGGAAAAAGTCAACTATGGTCAATTTACAGTCAAACTTCATAATTTTTTATCCAGTAATTAGGGTTTGTATGGAAAGATTAAAACCAATACTTACAAAATCCTAATCCAAGACAAAAGACAAACATGAAAATGATACACTTGCACACAAGCACCCCTAGGGTTATTCCACTTGGTTGCCTTATACAAAATGACCATATTACGCATGCAAGGTATCTTAACAAAAACAAGCAAATACAAGATCATAGTCCCTCGATGACGCTATCTAAGTTTCCTTACAAATGATCTTAGTCCCTAAAAAAGGAATGATGAGATACCTTGCAACATTGCTAATCATGGTTATACGATGACCCACGCCCGTCCCGTTTACATCCAAAGATAAAGTTACTTACCAAATCAATGGTAAGATAACAATGTCAAAGGAAAATGAATAAGAAAGACTTTTGAGTAGGTAGAATGCTCCTAATTACTTGCTCAATTTCAAACAAACATCCTTGCTATTTTCATAACAAACACCTACACTTTCAAAACATCTTACAAAATTTGAAAACATTTTCAAAAGATCAACATCTTTGTATATATTCTTACAAACAAGAATCATTACAAAGATTGCCTAAACAATGACCTCTTTACAAAATACTTTCAAAAACCACACCAAGCACAATTTCAAACAAAAGCAAGTGATCTAGCAAGTAACTAAAAGCCCATAGAAAACCATAGATAAAAAGGGTGCTAATACCTTCCCTTTTCATAATCTATCCCCCGAACTCAAGAAATAATCTCAAAGGTCTTTCATGTGTTTTTTCACCTTTCCTTTTGGATAAAAGAAAAGTCGGTGGCGACTCTTCCTAACCACAACATTTGCGATCAAACGCAAAACCCTCAAGTTAGTTCTCCCACCGTATCACACCACCATTCTGATGAATTCATATCATCAGATTCAGAAGTCAACAATAGCACATGTTCATCATCAGACTATCCTATGACTATATTTGCTTCTTCTGACTTCCTTTCTTTGTTTGACCAGCAATCTTTGGCATAATGACCAAAGTTCTTGCAACATTAACACTAAACATTCTTCTTGTCAGACTTCTCCTTTCCCTTATAAGCATTCTTCTGCCTATCAGAGTTTGAAGCTTCTGACATTTGACCACCATTAGTTTTCTTCCTGGCTTCTGATCAAGTCTCCTTCTGATACTTCTTATCAGAAGTTGCTTTCAGAGCCTGCTGCTCTACTTCCCTCTCAGAAGTTCTCTCAGTCATACGCAACTCATGCGCCTCTAGACTACTTTGCAGTTCTTCAACTCTCATGGTGCTCAGATCTTTAAAATGTTCAATTGCTTCCACAATATAATCAAACTGAGAAGTTAAAGATCTTAATACCTTCTTTATGATTACTTATTCAGAAAGAGTTTCTCCAAAAGCTTTCATCTCATTAGTGATCAGAATCACTCTAGAGTACTCAGAAACCTTCTCGTTGTCCTTCATGTTGAGATTCTAATATTGATTTTTGAGAGACTGAAGCTTCACCTTCTTCACTGATGCGTCACCACCGTAACATCTGACCAGTGTGTCCCACACACCTTTGTTGTTTCAGAATCAACAATCTTCTCAAATACATTCACATCCACACACTGATGAATATATAACAAAGCCTTTTGATCTTTTTTCCTTATCGCCTTCTGCGTTATCTTCTGTGTTTCTGTCGCGTCTCCTGCTAACAGAACATAGCCATCAATGACAAGATCTAACATATCTTGAGAATCAAACGACACACGCATCTGGATCATCCAATGATTCCAAATTTTACCATCAAACACTGGAAGCTTGGAATTAATATCGTTGTTTCCGTTCATCTTCAACTTTGTGCAATTCACTTAAAAATCCACTAAAACACAGTGTTTCCCAAATCCCCCTGAATCAGAAAAAATGTGATTCTCAATCACACAACACTTCACTGTTCACTCGTGTTTCCCCGTGAATTTCGAACCAGAACTCTAGATACCAATTGTTGGTGCACAAAGGAGAGATGAAAGACAAAAAGAATATATTGAATGGCGGCTAAAAAAAAAATAAAGAGTAATGAATAATTACATTAACCTACTATTAAGTTATTTATACACAAAATTAATATATAATAAAATACTAAAATACCCTCTAAAAAACTTAATTAAGATATTCCTAAAATATAAATTATTTACACCAATAAAACCCCTAAATTTTGTTAACAAAATAAATAAATAAATAAGAAGAAAAAAACACACTACGATTCAATTCAATCCTCAAAACCCTAATCAAACCCCCTAAAGCATTCATCACACTCCCCCCTCTTTCTCTCTCCCCTCCAATGGCTTCCTCATCGAGCAGCGGCTTAACCTTCAAGCTCCATCCACTCGTGATCGTAAACATCTCCGATCACTACACGAGAGTCAAGTCTCAGATGAACCCTACACTCGCTCCTCACAGCAACACTACCAACAACGGCGGTGACGGCGTTGTTTCCTCCGTTCCACCGCGTGTATTCGGCTGTGTAATCGGTGTTCAGAAAGGTCGCACCGTTGAAATCTTCAACAGCTTTGAACTACTGTATGATCCGTCTACTCATTCTCTTGATCGTCCTTTCCTCGAGAAGAAGCAAGAGCTCTGTTCAGTATTCCTTTCTCGCCTCTCTAATTTTATCTTGTTTTTTTGTTGATTAGTTTGTTTTGATTATTCTTTTTTTTAATTGGTCTTAGTGTATGTTTGGTTCCGCGGCGAGGAGGAGAATTGATTATGAGTGAATTGATCTTTTAGAATTGATTCTGGTTAAAAGTGAGTTTAATGTAAAGTGATTTATGTTTGAATACATTTATGTAAAAAAGTGAGTTGAGTAACAAATTTCAATGTAAAAATCACGTTTAAACTCAAAAATTACAAATTGTAGCTTCAAATAGAATCAATTTTGGAGGCAGAATCAATTCTACACCTCTAGAATTGCTTTTGCTTCTTGTAAAAGTTAAGCCAAACATACACTTAGTAGAACTTTGAGTTTTGGGGGTTGTTTGATTAATTGTTTTTATTTGTTTATGCAAATATAGTTTCTGAAGTTTAAGGTGATTTTGCAGATAAGAAGGTTTTTCCACACTTCTACATACTGGGATGGTATTCAACTGGGAGTGATGCAGAGGAATCTGATATGCATATTCACAAAGCTGTGAGTTTGTTTTATTGTTCTGTATGTTAATTTAAGCACCCTTGGGGTTGTTTCCAATTTTTTTCTTTTGGGCAATTGAATTTGTACCTTTGTTTAGAGATTGTAGTTGTTTGCATTGAGGAATGTTGTTGTGTATTGTTTTTGTTTTGTATTTCCTGCTGTTTATTTTGTAGTATTTGTCTTTAATTTGAAGCTTTGAGTGGGTATTATGGTTTTGAAGCTGCTAGTTGTGAAGTTAAAGTTATAGTTTAAGGTTCCTGCAAATGTTATTGGCATCATTATGCTTAGATATCTTTGCTTGGAACGTATGAATGATGTTTTGGGCTTTTATGTTTTGTGGTGCATGTGCATTGTGAGACATTTATTCAGCTAACACTAAGCGGTCAAGTAGAATTATAATTTGCAAATGAAATGCATGTTGAGGAGAGTTTGTTGCTACCGTAGTTCTTATTATATTACTAGTTAGAGTGATAAAAACCAACTGCCCTTTTCATTTCTATTATCTAACTCAGCCTAACTAATAACCAAGTTAACCAACTTAACACTCCTCTCACATAACCTATCCTAGATAATGAAAATTCTAGGACAAAGCTTTGAGAAAGATTTAGATGTAGTCTATCATTATACTTGATATATGACAGGATATGATGTTTTTGTTTGATCTATATACCTTACCCAATTTATTGGGAAAAGACTTTGGTTTTTGTCGTTATCAGTCCCTTTTAATCTGTATTTTATCAAACCATGTTAGAAACTTGTACCAAAATACAATTTAATTCTAAAAAAGACTTTTATTGACGATAGATAGAATATGCTTACGATAAAAACAAAATTACACATTAACTAAGAAAAGAGAGTCTGTTGTTACAGGGAAATTCCTATCCAAGAAATTCGAGATCTTGGTCTCTCCCTCCCATAACTACTCAATAACTATCCCATATTCACTTTCTCCTTTCCTTTCTATATTTATTTCTACAAATAATTAACATTAACATAACTGACATAATAAATGCTAATTAGTTTATGCTATCTTCTCTTACATTGCTCTTAATAAGAAGTTCCGCATTTCAAAATGATAAAACATCAAAGCTTTCTATGTATTATTAATCATTAATTTTTGTCGTACTCCCTTTTTAATGTCCCGACTTCAAGAACACAAGGATGTTCTTCTGGAACACAAGGATATTTTGGTTTGTGCTCATGGCTGAAGTATTCTTTCCCTCTCCTTCCAATCCAAACACTTCTTTCTCTAACATCCATCTGGAATGATATTCTGTTCTGAACATTCTTAATTTTTGATAGTTTGTTCTGAACATTTTTTCTCTTAATCAGACTGCTACTCTGTGTCTCTTAGGCAGGTTTCATGGCTATCATTATCGGTCTGCATACTAGCCCCTGTCTGTAGTTTTTCTGCTTTGCTTTCCTGACCACTGTGTATCTATCCTTTGATATCTTTGTACTTTGAAAGACTGGTGTTCTTTGGGCACTTCATAACTGTCACCTATTGGACCTTGCTGCACCTGCATAAGTGTCTGCTCCCTGGTTTTTTTAAAAGGCTTTCTGTTGCATCTCTTTTGCCTAACTGAATATTGAATTTGACACTATTCCATTTCTTTTCATTATTCCTTTCCCCCTTCTCAGAGAAAAGTCAACCACGGATCATCTATGAATGTTTCAAGATACCTTTGATCTTGGTGTTCTGTATTCAAGCAGTTGTACTATAAGACAATTGTGGGTTTAGATGATTTTAGGTTTTGGAATCACATGTCACATCTGTGTTGATATGCTTGTTATATTTTTCCAGATCATATCTAGTAATGCTAACTCTGGAGAAAATTGCTTTTGTGGCTGGTATTAGTGCGTACTAATTTAACTGAAATTGTATTAGAATGGAGTACAAGGTCGTTTATACTTAAAATCTCTACAGTCTAAAAGAATAGGTAATAGACCCCTCATCATGTTAAACTGACCTCCTAATTAGTAATACTTTATTTATTCCATTTGTTAGCATTTCTTATCACACCAATCCTAATTAAATACATATATTTCATTATTTTACATCATAAACATGGGTATAGAGCAAAACCTCCAAATAGTGTTGGGAATGGGTCAGGGCATACCCTAAATAGGTCATTAGCATGTTGAATGACTTGAATCAAATCAACTTTCCTTTTATGCTTTTTTCCAGTTTATCTTCTGCAGGTTGATGAAACAAACTTGATTTAGATTTAAACTCAGACATGTATTTTACGTTGTTGTGCTATTGTTCGTTTGAAATTCTCTCAATTTTACTTTAATTCCTTATTCCATCTCAAATTCTGCTTCAACAGTTGATGGACATCAATGAAAGTCCAGTTTATGTTCTTCTAAACCCTGCGATCAATCATTCTCAGAAGGATCTCCCTGTCGGTATATTTGAAAGTGGTACGCAATCTTGATTACTTGAATTATATTTCTTTTCTATTCTATTATTTTTCTTTATTTTCTCTTTTCATAAAAGAATAAATTTTATTGGAGAAAGAGATGGAAGTTCAAAATATTGGAGGGTAAATCCTTATCAAAGATAATACAAAAAGAGACCAACAGGCAGTATTGGGGATCCAGTCCCTTCACATATCCAAAATAGAGAACGTAGCAGTGTGATACTCTGATACTGTTTTGTTTCTATACATTTTGTTCAATTTTTTGGTTGTCAATTTTCTTGCTTGCTGTGCTGAGAAGATTAATTCTGTGTTATTGCTGGTGCTTGCTGTTACAATTTCAGAATTGCATGTCATAGATGGGATTCCACAACTTATCTTTGTTCGGTCAAGCTATACTATTGAGGTTAGGCTTTTATAACTACTATTGTCCCTTTTCATTTTTCATATATGAAATCTCTGTAATTCAACAAATAATCGAATTTGGCTCCCCCTCCATTCTTCTTGCTTCGCTGAAGACTGTTGAAGCAGAACGGATCTCAGTTGATCATGTTGCTCATCTAAAGCCATCTGATGGTGGTTCAGCCGCTACACAATGTGAGTGGTTTTCTTGTCTCATCTTTCCATTGCAACGTGAGCTTAATAATTATTATTTTGGGGAAGGGAAACAATTTTGGTTTCTGTTTTTATTATGTAATTATGTCTCTTCATTATATTATTATATTGATCTTCACAAATCTGGATAAAGGTTAGAGTTGTGTTGGGCACTCATCGACTAACATGAATTGTTGTCTAATAATCTCAATGCTATTAGCGGGGATGGTGCCTCAAGCCAAAAATCTCCATGAAATTGTAGTGGGAACATAGTAACTAAGATTAAATTTAAAATGTATATACAAAAAAAGATGTAGAATATAATGTAGTAACATATCTGTCAAGATTAAACTTAAATATATTCATAAACATAAAAGTCGATGTCATCTGTTGCATAATGTAAATTCACTAGAGAGTAAATTATTAAGCTCAAGTAACAGCATATCAATAGTAAACAAGACAAAATCAATAACCAGGAAAAATAGGAAGAGATGAAATGACCTGAGTATAAAGAGAAAACTGAGAGAATGATTGAAATGAGAAAAAGAAAAGGGACAGGGAGATAACAGAGATGTGAGATCACAGAAAGAAATTAGAAAAATGGTCTGTTCACATAAAATGGAAGATGGCCCGAGAAAAGAGGCAAGTCTTTTGTGTTTTAGGATTTCAACAACTTGTGCATGATTTATATCATGAAATTTGGTTGGGTCATTTAGACCCATCTTATTTTCTGTTATTTCTGGCTTCTCCTCACCATTTTCGCCCTTTATGCTCTGAGCTTCATGAGAGTTTCAGTGAAGAAAATGGCTGAAATCGTTAGATATTCAGATAAAGAGGAGTAGTGAAAGCCCCCAAGTCTACTGAAATTTGGTAGCCAAAAGTTTTGATGAATGCGTGTAACTAAGCTAACTCCTACCTGGAGGGGGATTAGGTTTGTTTTTTAAGTTATACTTATACATACATCTAATGTCCAATTATACTGTTTTTTCTTTTGGCAGTGGCTGCTAACCTTACTGGTATACACAGCGCCATCAAAATGCTTCATAGCAGAATAAAAGTGCTACATCACTATCTTCTTGCGATGGAAAAAGGTACGAGGGTATTGTGTCTCTGCAAAACTAGCATTTAATGATGATAAATTAATTGTTGTTTATTCCAGTTTTATAATTATAAAAAACATTATTTGATATCAGAACTTGTTTGGACTTATAAATACTTGTCGGGACTTTTTAGTTGATAATCCTTTCCCAATAGTGTTTAAAAAAGTTCTGTTGTTGCGAATAGGATTTTTAATACTTATATTCATATTTCATAAATCAGTTTCAAAACAGAGTAATAATAGACTGATATATTTCTGTTTTTAGCTCTAACCGTAAATTATACATAGCCTACTTATATAAAAGCACTCTGAACTAATACCATTTAAACCTTATTGTTTACAAGCAGGTGATGTTCCTTGTGAGAATTCACTATTAAGGCAAGTGTCGAGTCTCCTGAGAAGATTACCTGCTATTGAATCTGGGAAATTTCAAGATGATTTCTTGATGGTGAGTGTATAGCATTCTGAAAATCTTACTATTGCTACTCCCTTTTTTTATTGGTTCGGAGCCGTTGCAAGTAGTGGGGGAAGGAACATTGACATGCTTAATTTCTTTTTCTGTATGGTTACCGTGCCCACTTAATGAAGTTATTTGCGTATGTACATCAGGACATGAATTGTAACAGATTTAATGCTTGTTGGAGTTTGGAAAGGGAATAAGTATTTATGTCAGTTATGCATATTGGTATTTTGCATTTTTCAGTTTGTATATAATGCTTTAAGCATCATTCTAAGCTTGGTTCTGAGATTTCAGGAGATATGTTTCTATAGTACCTATTTTCAGTAAATAGTAGAACTCTATTTTTCTCACCTTGACTCCTTGAGTAGTCTCTATCAGACATCAGTAGAAATATAGGACTCTTACCACAAGAAAAATTTGGATTATTGCTATAATAATGTTTTTTGTATGAAGAGACATATTGCTGCAATATGGTATCTGAGCTGGATTGTAGTCTTAACAGCATAAATGGTTCTGTGAATTTTATTTTAGCTTACCATATCTTCTTTCCCTTGTAGGAATACAATGACACCTTGTTGATTAGTTACCTTGCCATGCTGACCAACTGCTCAAGGTATGGCTTACGCATAACTGTTGCCTTTGTTTTCTTTTGGGTTTTATAAATTGAGTTGATTTTTTTACCTTACAAAAAAATGTTCTTTTAGCTAAATTACCTTAATGTGGCGGGAGGGATAAATTTTTATTCTTAATCTTATGAATCAAATCTATAAAAAAGATAATTCAAGGTTGCAATTTGGTAAGTACCCAAGCACTTATGGAATCCTCCCTTAAAAGCTACTATCAATGGGGAAGAACCAAACCACTTTAATACGGCACCGAGCATCCCATACTCTATTTGGTGTTTGGGAACTCCATAATTCCAAACACTTATGTATCCAAACACTTGAGAAACCCTCCCTTAAAAGCTACCATCAAGAAGCAAGAATTGAACCACTTAAATATTCTCTCAACTCAGTACTTCTCGATGTGGGATTTTGACAACTAATAATACTCAAATCTGCTTCACCGTTTTCTTACATTCTCTATACCTGCAGTATTCCCTAGGATAAGCAGGTTCTTCTTCAGTCAGAGTTACTAAGGGAGGAAGTTTCAGTCATTTGAGTAGAGTCTGTTCGGATATCTTAATGAACTTTTATGTCAATGTGATTGACATTGTTTTGTAGATTCATGAAAAGCCCCCATTTACCATATATCCTTATTTGTCTTCTCCATGTGACCTTTTTCATACCCCTCTTTACAAGGGTCAGCAACTTCATCACAATTCACAACATCCTTATTTCCGCTGTCTTTATCTTTTTCTTACAAATATAATTTCTGTAAGAAATACCTAGAAAAATGTTGATGGGTTATGATGAGTATCAGCACAGCATATATTTTCAAAACAAAGAAATTCAAACGCCATTTCAGTTCTGAATTTTAACCTTGTATTTATCCACATGTTACTAATAAATGCTCTTTTTTCTTATATTTGTCTTCATGTAGTGCAATGAATGATTTGGTGGACAAGTTCGGTACTGCATATGATAGACATACCAGAAGAGGTGGACGAACCGCTTTCATGTGAATGTCGCCTTGTTACTCATATCCTGTCCTGCTGTGGACAAGCCTTGAAGCACTTTTCCAACTCTTTAGGCACATATTTTTGTCTTCATTCTTCTCTTGCTGCTTAGGCATTGGTTATTAAAGTTTAGTATTACTTGGATTTGAAGAGCTCAAGGAGAGAAACAAATATTCATGGAAAGTCACCAATGAAAAAAATAGGAAACGTATTGTTAGCTTTTGCAAATCAGTGACAAAATTTTCTTTTTCTAAATGAGCATTTATGAAAAATATACCTTTTTTTTTGTAATAGCTTGCCATGAATCTTTTTAACAACAGCTTATTATATTAGTTGAACATAATAGCTTGGCTCGCATAAATGCTAAGAATGGGTTTGTTTCAAGGTTAAAAAAAATGTTCTTGGGAATATACTTATGAGAATGTAATATTTTCATGTTTGATTCAAGTTTAAAAAAATATTTTCAATGCATTTTTCATTCTAAAGAATCTTTTATATATATATGATTCTTTTATAGGTTAAAGAGTGAGAAAATAAGATTCTCATAGAAATAAATTTAACTAATTATAATTTTCTACTAACATTCATAATTTTTATTTTTTTTATTATTTTAAATTAAACTAATTTTATGCGATAACTTTAATATTTAATAATTCAAGTTGTGAGAAGCTCTAATTCTTCTCCTTGAGATATTCTTCGTTTGATTCTCAAATCAGGTTGAACCATTTTGTACAAGTCTCACAAGTATGCTACTACCATCCATGTATCTTATGATAAGGTTTATGGAATTTAGTAACATTATGATTTAGTCATCCTACCTTTAGGAAATTCTCTCTTAATTACCTACCACATCCTTTAGATTAGATTATATTATTTACACCACATCTTAGGTTTATACTTTAATAATCTATATGATATGCAGTTACTTTAAACACATTATCTTCTAATGTTTATTAGCTTTACAATCCCAATAATCATATCTTCCTCACTTTTCCAAATTCAAAGAGTACTTTGAGAAATTCATTTATCAATATCATTTATTTGGAATCAAGATTTTAGCCCTTTCTAGAATAACTCATACATTATCTTAAGTCAGGTTTCATATGACAAAGGCATCTTAATGACCCAATAAGTCTTCTATATTAGATTGGATCGACATCATTATCTTATGATCTTTCGACAATTGCAATTTTGGTTCAGCAGGTTTCAAAGTCGAGTTATATTCTTTCATCTCAAATCTCTTAAGAATTTCTTCTGCATATCTTCTTTGATACATCATCAAACCTCTACTGCTCTTATAGAATTCCATGCCAAGGAAATATGAAATGTCACCCAAATAAGACATTTCGAATTCCTTGCTGAGATCACCTTTGAAGTCTTCAATCTTCTTCTTGCAGCTACCTGTTATTAACAAGTCATCGACAAAGAGACATAGTATAAGCAATTCCATATTGCTTGTTCTTACATATACTCCATGTTCAGTTGTGCACTTCACAAATTCCTTCTCCTTTAGAAAATTATTAATCTTCTTATTCTAAGCTGTTGGAGCTTGTTTCAATCCATACATGGCTTTACGCAGCCTGTACACCTTTCTCTCTTCGTTACGTTTCACAAATTCAACTGGTTGTTTAACATAAACTTCTTTGTCTAAAGGTCCATTCAGGAATGCACACTTCACGTTCATCTGACATATGTGCCAACCGTTTCTTTCTGCAAGATCAACAATCAATCTGATTATTTTGATTCTAGCAACAGGTGTAAAAACTTCATTGAAGTCTATTTCTTCTTTCTGTAGAAATTCTTCTGTCACAAACCTTGATTTATGTTGAGTTACCCCCCCCCCCTTTGGGATTCATCTTCACTTTATATATCCACGTGACATCAATTGCCTTTTTGCCTTGAGGCAATTCGACAAGTGACCCAGTGTTGTTGTCTTCGATAGAATTCACTTCTTCGTTCATTGCTTTCACTCACTTTGAATCCTTCGATGCTTCAGCTACATTGACAGGTTCGACATCCGCACAGAAAGCATTATGCATCAGCTCACCTTTGTTATCAATCACATCATCTGATGTAATCACACAATTTTGCAACCTTGCAGGCATGCGTCTTATTCTTTGAGGCATGCTTGTACTTGGTTCTGTAAGATTAAGATTGCGCCTAAGAGGGGGGGTGAATTAGGTGGTGGTCGATTTTTGACTTATTTTATACTTTCTGGTTTTGATTTAGTGCTTTGAAAACTGTAAAGTGCAGAAAGTAAAGAGACACAGAATTATCCTGGTTCCTTCCACACCCCGGAAGTACGTCCAGTCCCCTTGCAAACACGCAAGAGATTTTACTATATTGTTAGAACTTTTACAAGACTCTTCCTAGTCTTATCCACTAAAGAACCTAACAAATAACCAAGAACACCCTCTTGGATTTCCAATAAGTCTAATGAGAACAATCCTCTCAAAAGATACCTCTTGTTTCCAATAATGGACAACAAGGAACAAAAGTAATCTAATACTTAATTCCAACAATCCTGGAAATAAGTTACACTTTGTATGTTTTTATGAAGTATGATTTCTTGAAAGATGTTGATCACATAGAGTGACTTCTTTGAAGTTTCTTCTTTCTTCTCTTGTAAGCAATTCAAACTGTAACACAATGGTTAAATAATGCTCAAAGATTTCTGTTCTTTATATGTGTGAAAGTGCAGAAAATCTTTGTTCTTAAAAGTTAAGAAATATGAAGTTTGAATATTTTACAAAGTTCAGATTTTATTGCATAAGAGAAGAGTTATTTATGATTTGAAATATTTTGTAATATATAGTAATCAAGATACCTTTCCAAAAGGACACTTTTCTGTTTGAAAAACTTGACAAGATGCAATGTTTGATCATGCAACTATTGGAGAAAAGGTGTGAAGGATATCTTGAAACTAGTTCAGATTTTTCAAAATTTTCAATGTGCAAATCGATTAACATAAGATGCAAATTGATTGCACGTGTTTGTAACGTTCAGAATTTCAAAATATTTGAAGTGTAAATCGATTAGCATGTTGTGTCAATCGATTTACAAGAGTTAAAAAAATCAGTTTGTTCTGTGATCAATCGATTTACACAACCTGTAAATCGATTGCTGGCAGGAGCAAACAGTTTTTTGAAAAAACATGTGTAAATCGATTTACACAAGATGTTAATCGATTTACAGCAGAGAAAAACTTAAAAAATGTTTTGAAATATAATTGAAGTGATGTGGCAAGTGTGTATATCATTTTTGAGCATTTCTAATCAATGTAGTTTAATTGAGAATTGATATACTTGATTGCTTGCCAAGATCCTTGAAGCTTTGAGTGAATGATGCTTTAAGTTGATTTCCACTTCTTTTCCTTCTTTCCATAATGCTTGTTTGTCTTTCATCAAACTAGCTTGTTTGTCTTTCATCAAAACTAAAGTTGAGTTGAGGCTTGAGATTACATTCTCCCCCTTTTTGATGATGACAAACCATTTTCCTTTATGTGTTGATCAGAATTTGAGCAGAATGTGTTTTCTCCCCCTGAGAAGATTTCTCCCCCTATGGAGAAAAAGATTTGAAAGCTTGCTCTGTAAAGACAATGAAAACAAACAACCATAAAGTGCTATTACATCCTTCTCCCCCTTTGACATTATCAAAAAGAAGGGAAAGATGCAACAAGAAATTATAACAGAAATAAATGTACAGGAACATGAATAAAAAACAAAGAACTTTCAAAATTATCGAACAAAGTTTAAGAACACAATACATAAAATGAACACTTGAAATACAACAAGACAAAAACCATAATGATACTTATAACAAGAATTTAATAACATTGATCAGGAACATTTTAGAAAGGTCCTTGATATGGAAATTGTTGTTGAAGGGGTGGTTCGGTGTATTGAGGAGGCGGAGGAGCAGGATTGGTTGGGTCGTATGGAGGGATATGAAGATGTGAATAAAGATATGAAAATTGTTGGTTCACATCATTCTGAAAAGCATTTATTCGAGATGAGGTAGAGTCATTTATCTCAGTCCATCGAGCATTGATGTTAGAATTGAGAGAAGCAAAATTTTGCGTCATGAAATCCATAACATCTTGATTTGTTGGACCAGAAGAAGCAGCAGGAGGAGGAACTTCATGGTCTTCTTCATATGCATTATTACCTTCATCGCCGACAACATCCTCTCCAATGTAAGTGATGGTTTTTGCTTCAGCATTGAAATGAACACCCATCCTTGAATCAACATTTTTGATGGAGATCCTAGTGGTGATTGGATCCATTTCAATCCGCTCAAATCCAGTGAAATCTATATCAAAAGCTGCCATAATCCTTGTAATGAAATATGCATATGGTAGAAAGGTGGCCCTTGCGGCAACTTTTAGCATATGCACCACAATCAATTTTGCCCAATTAACCGGAATTCCATTTTTCCTTGCATAGATAATTTGCAGTTCTAGGTCGGTCACCGTACAATGATTCCCTGCTCTAGGAAACAGAATATACACCAGAAAATAGTGAAACAACCTATCATCAATATGAAAATTTCCAGCACTCCATGTGTCCCTAGCTGGAATAACCCCGCCAAGACTTCGAATCCGCTTGGCACGGTATTCAGATTCTGATAACCTTCCAATGCTATAGAAAAATTCTCGCTTCTGATAGTTTTCCCAAGCAGCATCTTCTGGATCATAGAGGGTACTTCCAGAATATGGAATGTTCAAAATTCTGCCAATAGTTTTGGAATACAGAGGGATTCTTTTTCCAAGGACATAGGTATAACATTTGTTGTTGTCATAACACATATTGCTGTAGAAAATTCTAACCAGATCCGGGTAATAGAAACCATGTGAAGATATTAATGGTTCTAAACCATAAGCAATGAAATCTCTTTGAAACGAGAAGCATTCATCTGGAAAAGTAGATAACATACCAAACTTTGGAGCAGAGATGATTTTCTTTTGAAAATGCTTGATAAATCTGTCCCGCTGTGGATCCGAGAGG